TTGGATTGCGAACATGGAGCCAAAGATTGAACAATTGACTACGAACCCGTAGTTGGATTGATACGCCCATCTGTCATTTTCAATTATGTTGCTCGAACTACCAAGTCTGATGCCGCTATGGTATAGTAAAATAGGGTAAATGCATCCTCTATGGCTGTCATTTGGGGCAATTCGAACGACATTGTTATAGTTTTGCATCGCAGCTTTATATAATCCCGTATTTGTTTGTGTATCTTTTTTGCTATTTTCGAGCCATGGCTCGCCCAGCTATCCAAGATGTCGACCGAATTCAGTGCGGTTGTGAGACGATAACGGACCATATGCAAGAACCAACACACTCGGTTTATTAGACACACGGAGTGTATGTTGCCTCTAATCTGTCCGACAGCAAATCTACAGTCAACAAACCGTCCTGGTCCGTTGCTCTGTTCTTGACGGAAGCTTTGCCCTCATTACGACGCATTGCTATCATCATAAAGGATAACGCGGTAATTTCCTAAAGGGTGAAAAGGCTTAAGATGTTGATCTATATAAATATTGTTAAGAATCTAACGGCGATTACGTACCATTCTTTACCCCTAAACAGGAACTAAATCATAGCCCGAGCCGAATTTTCAGGCTTTCCAGTTCAATGGAAATTCACTCGGACATTGCTGTCTTTTTACCCTTCTGCTGCATTTTTTTGTCGCCACAGTTATGTTTATCTTCATGGCATTAAATCCGACAGCCTCGGCCATACCCCGCGATGACTCAGAAGGTTAGGGTTAAACCGGGTTCACAGTTAATATAAGCTTAAACGCCAAGAACAATCAACTTAAGACATGAATCTTTTTTTTCTTTAACTTCACTTGCGCATCCTTACATGTCACCTTTCATATACGTCTTCACTTTTACAATTTCAACACGCGTCCAACCCGTTGCCATCAAAAATACGACCTATACTACTGCTGAGGATGGAACGTTCTTTAACACCCATGCTGGTTGACGGAGAAAACCCGGCAAACTCACCAACTCGTCTGTACGTACCAGTCACCTCCACAAGAGGTGGACTAACACAGCTACAGACACTCCACCATCATCATAATCGCCTCGACAACACTCGTCTTTACAGGATGCGGAATTAACTTCGCATTCGGTGTCTTTCAAGAGCTTTACGACTCCATGTCAAAGGAGCCAAACACCCCGTTCACCGGCGCAACACCGGCGCAGATTGACCTTATCGGTACTCTCTCAATCGCACTGATGACAATAGGTGCGCCATTCGCAACAGCTTGGACAAAGCAATACCCCCCTCGATATGTCATCTGGGCTAGCGGAATAATTCATTCAAGCGCTCTGTTGTTTGCAAGCTTCAGTCAACACCTGTGGCAATTCATCCTCACCCAAGGCATTCTGCTTGGTATGGCCACGTGTCTAACTTACATGCCATCTGTAACCGTGGCACCGACCTGGTTCACATTGCACCGTGGACTAGCCATGGGCATAATCCTCGCGGGAACCGGGATCGGCGGTGTTGCCTGGCCCCTCGCCTTTCGATACCTCATTGAGTCTCTCGGATTCCGCAATACACTTCGCGTCACGGCGGGGATCTCCTTCGCACTCATTTGCGGATCAGGGACCTTTATACGCTGGCCTGCTAGTCAGATCACCCGTATTCAAGCCGAGAACGCCGCTTCTTCCCGGTCTTCTACATTTTTCCGCCTTCCGTTGGTGGACTGGCGCGTCGTCCAAAGCCGCAAATTTGTTGCCCATGCTATGGGTGCAGCATTGCAGTCCGCTGCATACTACACGCCGGTGTTCTTTTTCGCTTCTTTTGCTCGTACACTAGGCTACTCACAGGCAACGTCTGCAAACTTCATTGCCATCTCTAATGCTGCAAATGCGCTAGGCAAGGTCGTCATCGGTCATGCAGCTGATCGTATGGGAAGACTCAACACACTGGTATTAACAACCCTCATCTCAGCAGTGTCTGTCCTCGCATTATGGCTTCCCTCGTGTCTATCCGCCACACAATCTACCGGGAGCACACTGTTCATTGCATTCACGATCTTCTATGGCGTTTTTGCTTCAGCATACGTCGCTCTTTTCCCGACGAGCCTAGTAGAGTTGTTCGGTGTACAGAACTTTGTCAGTGTCAATGGTTTGCTGTATATGGTGCGAGGATTAGCGACATTAGTTGGAACCCCAGTTGCGGGTGCACTGATCCGCGGAAACCACGAGAAGAGTGTCGGTCCGCGAAGCTACGAGAATACTAGCATTATGGTCGGTGTATTGCTGGTTGTGGCGACATTGGCTGTGGTTTGGGCGCGACTCGAGGCTACCCTTACCCTAGATTCTACCGTGGGGCGCCGAATGAAGTGGTTGATGTAAAGATTTGGCCACCCAGATATTGAAGGCTTGATCGTGATCGTTGAAGAAGTCCCAATTCCATAGACTGTACTCCGTACATTAGCCATATTCACCACTTTCAAGCAGATACCAATTAAATCTCTTCTCTGTATTTATTGAGGCACGTATGCAGATGAAATGTCAAGAGGGAATGGAACGTGTGACAGAAGATAAGCCAGCTAGATAATAGAACTTGACTATATTCGTGTTGAAGAGCCTCACCAATCCCCTATATTGATTGATTGGGTCAGGTACAGATGTTACGTAGTCACGTGACTGTGACTCACCCCGTCTGACCGCCTTATTCTGCAGATTTTATTGCGGGGTGATTTTGGACCGACTTTTTCTTTATCTGTTCCCCTTACATTAGTAGTATTGCCCATTCTTCAATCTGTCTAACAATGGCTTTATCTGCGGAGGAAAGATTTGATCTCATTCGGGACAATCTCGGCGAGATTCTTAACCCGGAACTGATCGAGAGCATCCTTGCCGAGGGGCGCAATCCCCGTGTGTACTGGGGTAATGACTCCCTACCTTCTACTATTCAATATGGCGAACTGACATCTCTTGTCCTGTTTTAGGCACTGCTACAACTGGTCGGCCTCATTCCGGTTATTTCGTCGCCGCAATCAAGATCGCCCAGCTACTAGCGTCAGGGTGTGAGGTGGTGATTCTCCTTGCGGACGTGCACGCGTTTCTAGATTCAATGAAAGCGCCTCTCGAACTGGTGGAAAACCGTGTCAAATACTACGAAAAGATCATCACGGCAGTCCTAGAGGCTGTGGGCGTGTCGACGGAGAAGCTCGAGTTCGTGCTCGGGAGTTCCTACCAGCGGAGTTCCGACTATGTTATGGATGTCTACCGGCTTGCCGCCATGACCTCTGAGCATGATTGTAGGAAGGCTGGTGCGGAGATTGTGAAGCAATCTACCAACGCCCCAATGAGCGGCCTGCTCTACCCGATCCTTCAGGTCCTCGATGAGGAGTATCTTAAGGTCGATGCCGAATTAGGCGGTATGTCTAACTCTACTTGCATATCTACACTATTTCTAACGAAAAAAAAGGCCTGGATCAGAGGAAGCTCTTCACCGCAGCAACAGAATGGCTACCCAAACTCGGATACCGAAAGGTAAAGGATATATCCATGGGGCAAGGCTTAATGAATATCGCTAATGATTTTCAACTCCTAGCGTGCCCATCTTATCACTCCAATGGTTGCAGGCCTCAGCGGGGGCAAAATGAGCTCTAGTATCGAAGGTATGTAAAGCTAAAACTCTCGTCTAAAGCGTTCCAAACTAACCCTATCTAGATAGCAAGATTGATCTCCTCGACCCACCTGAGATAGTCGCCAAGAAGATCCGTAAATCGGAAGCGGTCCCTCGAGTCGTCGAGAACAATGGCATAATTGCCATGGTGGAGTTCGTCTTGCTCCCCGCAGCCGCCCTCGCTGGCAAGAAGGAATTCCGCGTGGCACGCCGGGATAACGAACCTCTCATCTACACTAACATCCAACAACTCAAAGAGGATTACACAAACGACGTTGTATGTTAATATTTTTGCTTGCTCCCGGAAACCTACTAACATCACCTAGTTGACTCCCCAAGATCTAAAGCCTGCAGCAGCAGAGGCTCTGACCCGTCTCATGGCACCTATTCATAAAGCCTACGCAGATTCGCCCGAATGGCAGGAAATCACCCTCAAGGCATACCCGCCTCCAGTTGTACAGAAGAAGGAGAAGAAGGTCAAGGATAGAGGTTCCCGCTTCCCTGGGGCTAATAAGGAAAAGGATATCCCAGAACGTCCCAAGGCTTAAGAAATACATAAATGGAGAAACAGGGAATTTACACTCAGAAACATGGATAAAACCCAAGTACATTTATTTTTTCTTCATCCTCGTGAGGATTGCACATCACAACGAATGCTCACCATCATCGAAGTCGCATCATTCATAGGGCCAAGTGCTTAGGAGGACGAAGGTTCCATTAAGAGCAACGGACTAGGACGGTTTGATGACTGTAGATTTTTGTCAGGCAGCTAGATGCTAGAGCAAAACCTGCTCTCCCGGAACCTGGAACGCCTGTCACAATTTCCCGCCGAGGTCAAAAGCCAGTAAAGAATCTTACAAAGTCGATAATAATCAACTTTGGCAAGATGTGGTTGTCTCTTCGAAAGGAATCTCTCTGTCGTCGATCACCAATCTTCTTTTAACGCAATCTGTGTGCGGCTGAGACACTGAATTAACATTCAAAATCAGTCATAAGTCCTTACTGAAATTGCATATCCCATCCCCACTCGGCAATCTTCTGTAACGATTCTTCATCGATTACCACGTTGGTTTCTCTTGGGGTTTGAGGATTTCCTAGGAAAAAGAGGGAATGACGAGTGGACCCCCGGACTGTTTGACCCCATCGGTCTCGCTTTCTGAAACCTGAATATGGTGGGATCTGTGGGACTTGCCATTGACATAATCCCATACCCACATTTAATATTAATCATAGGTCGTTGGCGGTTGACTGTGATTGCCATCGCAACATTAGCATTTCCTCTAACAGGGTCAAGCCAGAGATTGGCATCACGGCGAAGTTTTCTTTCGGTCTCTGATATAGCGACTTCTTAAACCACCGTAGGCCGCTTAGCACAGCCACGATGGGGTCTTCTCGGCCCCCAGCCCATATCTGCCTGTTTGCTCTGCCCATTGACATCGATGTCGACACCTTGGTAATGGTGAACAGCTTGGTGAAGCCCCATGTGTCGAAGAGCCGTGCTAATGGCTTCGTGGATGGCGAAGACGATTTGAGTATGTTCACGAGTGACCATTTTGACAATAAGTAATTCGGTTTTCGGGTTAAAAGATGTTCGGATCGAACGAATAGGGATGGTATCCGGGCCAACGAAATCCTGTTGAAACGTAGTAGGATCAATAGAAAATATGATGTATTCGGTAGTCTCAGTATCTGGCTCGGATGCTGTATCGATGTTGGACATTTCACGAGATTTGCGCATTGAATCAAGCAGACGTTGACGTTCAAGTGCGAGTATTCGAGAAAAGTGATCCTTTCCTTCATAATTATACCGTCTAACAGAAGGAGGTAGACCTTCTGAATCATTATCGGTCTCATTTTGATTTCGATCTGACATTTTGTAGGATATCTTGATCCGGGGAAAAATCAATCGATGATGTTGTTAAGAGCACCAATCGCGACTATGAAATGATTGGCTATTATTGGCTATTTCTACATACCGCTTTTCCACCGCCCTACAATAGTCGCCATAACTCAATTTCTACATCTTACAGGTTACAACATAGGGGATAGTTACAGGGACCCCCAAATTAAAATCAACTTGAATTGCTGCAATGTTTCCACAAACTAAACTTACACTTTACACGTGATAGCATGGTCAAAAAGGACACAAATCGATGATGCAGCATAAGACGATTCCTCGAACTTACGCTCATCACTTACGGACACAAATTTAGCAACCCCCTCAGAAAGATGATACCACCGAATATCTAGCGTGAGTTCCACGTCTGGCGAACGCTGTTCTCAGCGTTTGCATGAGCCAACTTTCTTTAGGAAATCGTCATGGTGCGCATGCTCAACATCAACTCAAGTTCCGCTCTGTCCAAAGTAGGCGGGGTGGGATACCTAAGATCCTGGACTCCCATGAGGTACTCCACGACCCTGTTATATTATTAGTACGCATACCAGGCTTGGGAAAATAACATGTCTCGTACTTGTTGTGAAAGTAAGTTGGGAAGTAACATCTGAATCCTCCTTGTCGGCTCTGTTCTATGTGCAGCCAACCTTTCGTGATACACGACAGCATAGCTTCACTTTGTGGGTTGAACGAAATGCTGTAATCACCGCTTTGCCGAACCTGGCGAAGAACTTCAAACTCTGCTTCGGGAGGGAAAAAGGTTTCGGGAGAAAGCGGAAGACCCGCGAAGTTGACAATTGCCGCGATCGTTGCTTCCATGATGCCGCGAATTTGAAAGAATTGCATGATTTCATAGTCATCATAGCTTATGGTTTCCATTTCGTCATCCGCGTCATCCTTGTAGAGAACCTCATACCACTGGCAAGATGTTAGCATGACAGAAAATATTAGACATTACTGACCATCACATACCATGTCACAGATATGCATGAATGCATCCATCAATTCAGGCTGGCCGTCGGTTAATCCAAAGATGGTATCTTTCAAGATCTCACAAATTTCGTAATCAGAACCTCGAGCCTGGAAATGCATTTCCAGGTAGAGATCGAATTCTTCTCGGTTGTAGAAAAGTGTGAGGTCCTCGGAAAACCTAGTGGACAAGAAAAGACGCTGACGCTCATTGAATACCATCAAGTCACTCCCCATGTTCTGTGGCATAACACCCCTATCGGGGGTGCCAAATGCACTGAACAAACAGAAACTGGCCCCTGGTATGTTCGCGAGACGGTTCTGGTTCACCGAATTCAGAAGTACCCACAGCTCAGAGTTATTGTAAGTCATATGCGCATCGTCAATGATAAACACAAACGTGTCGAGCAGAACGTTGTGGCCGAATGCAACATAGCCTTGGATGAGACAGGCCTCGACCAGGTAATGCAACGCGGTAGGACCACCCTCTAAACTAGGGGGAAACTGTTTGATCCAAATCGACTTGACTCCCTGTCCACGAAGGTAAATATGAAGAGACCGGGCGAGAAAGGTCTTTCCCGACGAGGGCGTTCCACGGGCAAGCACCACTCTTTGTTCACTGATGCGATTGGCAAGCTTTCTCACGGTTTGGTGTCTCGGTAGCAAAACTTGGCTAGCACTAGCATCACTTGGGTGCGCTTGAAGAGAATTAGAATCGGTTTGGCAGAGAGAAGAAATCCCTTACGCCCAATTTGGAAATGATTTCTAAGTGGATGTCCACACTCCCGGCAAGATATCGATAAGTCATTCACATCATGCTGTCCTTGGCCAAGACAAGGGCAGCAGTAAGAGCCGTTGCCACTCCAGTAACAGACTCCAGCTGTCATGTTGCGCGTCAAGAATCGGCCAAATGTAGTTGATACGGAGACTGAAAAGAGCGGTGGAGGAGTTGCAGCTGCTAATCCAACCCGAGTGTAGGCAGAGTGAAGTTGGTAATGATTGAGAATAAAACAATGGGGAAAGACCAGGATTGAAAGTCGGCTGGAGCGAAAAGAGTGGGATGGAGATAGAGAAGAGCAAGAGACAGTGGGAAGATGAAAAGTAAACAAAGCACGTCTGACGCGACAATGGAAGGCGGCGTGTCGTTCTTTCCCTTATACGTGCTGGGGATCAGATAAGGTCATGGCCATGTACATACATCCTGTCCTTGTTGTTTCCTACTATGTATCCTATATACTTCGCCTTGTGATTTGATTGGCTACGGCTATTCCCCACCGTGGAGCCTAATGGGGGCTGATGATTGGAGGGTTGGATTTATGGTATTCTGCCAGAGTTAACGAGAGCGGAGGGACATGTTCCGCCTTCGAGAGACAAAGTAAACAATCTCCGAAGTGATGCTGTAGTTCCGCCATTGAGTCATTTCATGTGTATTTCCTATAAGCTGAAAGCCTATCTGGCTTTATAGTGTAAATCTAATTGAGTAAGCACTTCTATGCAGGTATTAAATATCAAAAGCCGTTGTTTCTTTTATCTCGTTCTATAAGTGGCGACTAACTATCCCAGAAAAGGGTTCAAAAAGTACGTAAAAATGAATTAATATGATATCTAAAAATAAATTCAACCCGATTTGGTAGTGGAATCTTCCTTCAAGTCTTTATATAGTTCCACTATGAAAAAACTCGTAAGTCGGTTGTCAGATCCAAAGTGTTGTCTCAGCTATGACCATCATGGCTGAGGCAGATTCATCACCATCCACTCCTCAAATGGGCTCTCTATTCCGTTGCAATTAACCCCAAAGTGTTGATTCTGCTGGCCGGGCGACGCGAACATCCCGAGGGAGCTAGTCATAACAAAATGGTCGGCTACAGCTTTGGTCAGATCAGTCAAGAGAGGAGGATTGGTATCTGAGACTTACGCTCAAATAAACTCATGTTGTCTGGGAATAGCAGTTCCTCGTCTGGATTTTGGCCTGTGCCTTTGGCACAACTTCCCTGGAAAGTCTTCGTTTGATCATTGTCTTGTACATAGTGGGAAATATCTTGGTTAAAAGCGAGGTCCGGCTTACGACCATCGCCGGCCGTGGCGAGCACAAAACTAACAGTCTCAGCCGCTTTCTTTGCCTCTTTGGAAGTGGAACTCTTTCGCATCCAAATGGACCTGGAAAGATGAAGGGCCGCCCGTATATCTTGTTCCCGCTGTATTGTCTTCCCACGATGAAGAATTGAACATAGTACCATAGTAGCAGTGAGGAACTGGTGGTTCATGATGGAAGTCACTCGAAATCTCATGGTATAGAGCTGGCCGCCTGGACATGCTTCCTCATCAAGCACATGTTGGATATTCAGCATACCCAGCGAAGCGGCCAAGCAGGCTTTCCGCGAGTAGCTCATCGAATCATAATCCGCATCGTCCGGACTTGTGTATAGAAACCGGCGATGAAGCACAATCTGCCCCTTGTAGATCATATGACCTAAGAACAAACGCGACATGATGACCTGCGGAGAATCTGTCACAATAGTGGCCATAGACTTCATCTGCAAGAGGGGAGGAATACTGGCTGCCGCGTCTTGGAGTACGCCGTCGACGCGCATCACCTCTGCATAACTACATGGTTTAACTGCATCTGTGAGATCGGCCACTGTTCCCAGTGCTGCAAGGATGCGTCGTCGTGCGATAAGTCCCTAGGGAATTCGTGTATCCAGTCAAGGGACGTGACGGAGGAAGATCGGTGGACTGTTCGTCAAAGTCCGTGTCATTCAATTTTCGCGGTTCCATTGTGTCACATTTCCAGTCGGAGATCATGCGTGGCATACCCATTTGGTTTGACACAAGTGTATCACCCATTAACACTGTCGCCCACAGTCGGCGACGCATCTCTCCCTGGAAGGGGGAAATACCTGGGAAATGACTGGGATCGCGATGGTAGCCCATCCGCATGGCCAGGTTTACTTCTAAGGCCAGCAGATACCAGGTATCTTGATCCGCGTCGGTACGAAGAAAAAACTCCACATAGACGTAGTTAATGACTGTCTGCAAGACGTACGGTCCTGCTCTAGTGTACTCGCCTAGCACTAGGCACTGGACGATCTTCTGTCGATAAAGGTCGATCTGAAGCGAGAGACGTTCCACTTCGGCATCGAATGTATCAGTAGTTAAACAAGCAAGACAGATCATGCTGAACAGAAGACCAATCCACATGATTGGCACGTTGGATACATTCGTCCAAAATTCCTCATACTACTCCTGTCAGTGAAACTGTTCAGTGTTCAGCGTGAAGAACACTGACCTCTCTTAAAAAGCCTGGGCCGTGAACAGCTGCTGCAAGAGTAGTCAATACCAGATGCTGAAACGCAAAAGGGAGTACGAACAAGACGAAACTAGATCTAGATAGTTAAAATAGCGAGATATGTAGCGATCAACGGCAGCCTTGGGTGGCAAAGCCGCCAAAATCTCGTCGTGAGACACAATCCTGCGGCACCCATACAAGAGTAGCGCATACCCGGACTTGGCTCGGGACAGGTCATGCCCTTGCTCATATGCCAGCTGATCTGGTGTGTTAGCTAGTCGAAGTTGCTCATCCCGATCAAAGTGGTCCTTCAAATCCGCGATTCCATCGAGAATAGCCGCCCAATGGTCACCACCAACATACCGGAGCTCGGACTCACTGATGCGCATGCTGCCATATTCCGAGTGCCCATCGAGGGGTGGTTCCATGACAGCATCCACAGCGGGGATCCCTTGGTACATCGAGCGTGCAGAATCTAGGGCCGAGGCAGTATGACTCTTATTTGCTGAATCGTCCATCAGCGAGACGACCAGTCGTTCCAGCTGTACCAATCGGTCGTGGATCCCTGGGGCCGAAGTCACAGGCCGAGGCTTTGAAATGCCTGTGGTGGTCGAGGTATCGGCATATGTGCAGATCTGTCCTCGGCTGGAACAGCACGAGCATGGGCGTTGACGATCACATCGCGATCTGGATAGTAGAAACAAACAGACCGTCCTGTGAGTACTAGTCACAAACGAGTTTGTGGGATGGCATGCTTACTTGCGGCGGCGACACGGGTTACAAGACAGCTGTGGCTTCTCTCGTTGTCGACTTGACTTTGATCGAGGTTGTGATATAGAATCGGCCTCGGGAAGCAATTGCTCTGATCCCGTTGAGGAGGATATTGGATGGGTGGACATCAAAGTGATTCTCGACTGATTCCGTGTATGAGACCGTCGAATGATCTTATCGAGGTCAATATACTCCACTTTCGTATACCAAATTCAACAGCTCAAGCCGAGCCAAAATTTTGTGAATTGCAAGTCAGAAATTCCCAAAACAAAGCCGGGGAAGTCAGCTGATCTCCGACCCTCCGATCGTCCGGTCCGGTCCCGGAGTGGGTCACGCGATCTATACAGCCCTGGAGATCCGCTAGTACTCTGCAACTCTCTGTCTATCTCTGTTTTCAACACCCTACCAGTATCGGAGCACCATTATAATTCTTCCTTTGAGACTAATGATATCCAATGAAGCCACAAATCTTATCTCCGTGATCCACTTTCCCTGCAGGGAAGTGTCTTGGGCTCCAAATGAGTTTAAATAGCTGCGCAACGATGGAGAAACTGAAAGCTACCATCCTACTTTCATATTATTTTACATCTTACCGTAAGAATGTCTTCCACCACAACTTCCACCGACATCCCACCAAGCCTACTAGAGGCTGGCCTGGAAAAGAAGGACGACTCTATGGTTGTCGACTGGGATGGACCCGAGGATCGTGAGAACCCTCGAAACTGGTCACCGCTCAAAAGATGGGCGCATGTTGTTATCATCTCAATATTGGCTTTGATTACGTATGTCTCTGTTTTTACCCATTCTGCGCTTGCTTACTTGTTATGCCTTTGCGCTTTTCCCTTATCCGCTGTACCGTTGGAATCCTCTTTGCTTTCTGAGAAACTTTCTTACACGCGATTTGTAAAGGAACATGGCCCCCACAATGTGTGCTCCAGGGGCAAAAGATATCGCTGCCGATCTCCATATTACCTCTACTGTTGTCAGCACGCTTACAATAACCCTGTATGTGCTCGGCATTGCCATTGGTCCAATGTTCATGTCACCCCTGAGCGAGATGTATGGTCGTGTGCCTGTCTACCATGGTGCGACTATAATATTTGTTGCCTTCATCATAGGTAACGCTTTGAGCAAGACCACAAGCCAGTTTATGGTCTTCCGATTTATCTCGGGATGCGCGGGCGGTACTCCAATGGCATTAGGCGGGGGAACCATCGCAGATATTACCAGCGTGCAGCAACGGGACGTTGCCATGGCATTGTTTAGTATGGGTCCACTTGCGGGACCAGTGAGTTCCACCTTCTCACTTAGTTTGAGAAAGACCAAGTACTAATTTTCTTATTCAGGTCCTCGGTCCTGTCATTGGAGGATTCCTTGCGGCCGGTAGCGTTGGACTTTCTGGCTTCTTGCCATCCTGGGCGGTGTTTTTGGCGCCATCGCCGTGCTTCTTCTGCGGGAAACACATCCCAAGGTGCTGCTTGAGCGAAAGGCCGCTCGCCTGCGGGCTATTACGGGGAATCCCCATTGGAGATCAAAATTGGACAGCATCTTGACATCCCGCCAAGTCCTCCGGCAGGTGCTGGTCCGTCCGGTAATACTGCTTGTGCGGTCACCCATTCTCTTCGTGATCTCCCTCTATGTGGCACTGGTATTTGGAGTGATGTATCTGCTCTTCACCACGTTTACCAGCGTTTTCGAGGGCCAATATGGATTCTCGACCTCCATTTCGGGGCTCACCTATCTTGGGCTAGGCGTAGTGCTAGTGATCAGCATGGTTCTTTTCAACCTGCTGAATGGTCACGTCCAGGCAGCACGCATGAAAGCTGAGGGCGTGCATCAACCACGCCCAGAGTATCGTCTCTTGCTCATGATCTGGTTCAGTCCCTTCGTGGCCGGGGGCCTATTCCTATACGGCTGGACGGCATACTATAAGGTTCACTGGATTGTTCCTATCCTTGGCACAAGCTTGATGGGCTTTGGCACATTCTTTGTCATTGTAGGTTACCTGTCGGCTATGATAGTTGCATATTTGACAGTCTGTGTTGCTAATATTTCCATCTAGACGCCTGCACAGCTGTACCTTATTGATGTCTTTGGCTCCGAGGCTGCAGCATCAGCTCTGGGGGCCAGCAACCTGCTTCGGTACATTTCCAGTACATTCCTGCCTCTTGCGGGACCAAGTATGTATAGCAGCCTGAACTACGGATGGGGAAACTCCGTGTTAGGGCTTATAGTGTTGGCGTTCGTTCCAGCGCCTGTCCTGTTCTACAAGTACGGAGAGCGCCTTCGTACTAAAAAAACAATCGTGTAGATTAGACGAACCTGGCTGAGGTTTTCCCGTTGGCCTTTTGCTCAAAGAAAATGAAGATGAGAAGTGTTACTCGATTTGTGTTTTGGAACTATGGAGATTTTTAGAACTGGGCCAAGGCAGACGGCAGTAAGTCGTCGAATTGGGAAAGTAAACAAGTTGAATCGAAGAAACTTGCATGCATCTACTTCCAATAACCCTAACAAAGAGCTTCCAGGCCTGGTGGTCAGGTGCCCAGGTGACTCGTTCTGATGACTAAGGGGACCATAGCCCCGGCCCCTTCCCAGCCCACGTTTGACCACTCAATCTCATTCTCTCATTTCCCATTTCCACCCTTCTTCGGCCTTCAAGATGAACGTCACGGAAAACATGAGTGAAAATATTACAGACAAGGATATCCAAAACAAAAAGGATAAGCAAATTGAAAGGGAGAAGAAGTTGCAGAAGGCATTCGAACCATGGATGATACAGATTGTCCCTGGCCTCATTCTAGGAAATGCCTCGTCGTCATGGAATACCGAAATGCTGGTTAATAATCGTGTCAAATCAATTATCTCTCTTTCCCAGTGCCCATGGGGAGAGTGGTCTCAAACAAGAACGACAGTCCCACGGCATCATCATAAAATGGTTCGGGCTGTAGATACATCAACACAAGACCTCCTTATTCATATGAGCGATACTCGCGACTTCATCGATAAACGTGCATCATCTGCTCTTTTGTCAGTATCCTCGTTACCTGTTGATGATGAGCTCGTAATAGATGATGAGCCTGCAGCAGATTATACGCCAGAGGCGATCCTAGTTCACTGTGACTTTGGCATTTCACGCACACCAACGATCATCATCGCCTATATTATGCGCAAACTGCGCATCCCACCAATGGAGGCGTTGGAATTTATTAAATCAAAACAAAAAGTCAAACCCAACGCTAATTTCACTCGCCAACTTCAAGTATGGGACGAAGTCGGATATCAAGTATGGGAGGATGAAGAGAAGACTGTCCCAAAACTGCCGTATAAAGCGTTTCTGGAAGATCGAGCTGCCTTCTTGAAAGAAAATTGGCCCCCTGGGGAAAATCCATTTGCGTCCTTGACCCTCCTGAATTAAAAGGATTTCTTACATTCCCCATATCGCAGTACTATATTCTTGTCGAGATCATGACATGTAACCATCTCACCTTCCCACCGAGAGGGGCTGTTATGGAAATAGGGAAGGATGCCCTAAGAAACTACTCGCACAAGTGAGACCCTCGAATGAACAGCCTTATTGCTCTAGTTTAATCAAATCTGATTCCTTTATATGCGGTGACACAATCTTAGGAAGTTCTACATATACATCTTCCGATTCAGGTAGAAGGTATATATTTCCAACGCACATGCTTAATCCCACTCTAAACCGAAAATAAACGCAGATATTAATCATGAATCGTAACCCTGTCCTCTCACAGCCCGGGAGTCTGTGCCCCTTCCCCGATCCCCATCAACCCACCAGCGAGCCCATTCATGCGACGATCCAGCAAATCCTCTTCACTATCAAGAGAAGCGATGCTCCGTCTTCTCGGGCGAACTACACTTGGACTTTCAGGTGCACTATTTGTCTCGTCCGGATCGAAAGGGTCAAAACGACCCGCTCTTTCCAAGCATCGGAGCTTAGCGATGAAATCCTCCTTAGCGTTGCGGTCATCTCCCAACGACGTAAAGCCTGTAATCCGCGAGGAAGCGAAAGAGGAACGTGATCTCCTCCGACGAGTGCGGTGTTCGGGCTTTGATGCAAATGCATCCTCGTCACCAGCAAGCGTGGTCTTGCTCATGCTCATTTCTAATGGTCTGTCGTCATCACCTGAAGACTCGCCAGTGAACTTGCGACGGTGGTTACGTCCGTTTTTTGGAGCGTTTGATTTGAGGGAAGTACTGGCATTCAAAGTACTCACATCCTGGTCAGGATAAAGTAAATCCGCCTCGAAGTTGTCAGTCTTGATATTTTGGAACAGGCTTTCCAGCCAGTCCGCACTGCGATGGATATACTTCCACGCGTCGGGGAAGAAGCCAGCCATCTGCATGAAGCCGTGTGAAATACCGGGGATCAGGGAGATCTCGACGTAGTTTCTCTCGTTGAAGGGGCGGCTGGCCCTCTCCAACCCTAGGTCCTGGCGCTCACGGAAGTGATGCAGCTTTGCTTGACGCAGTCTGCCTGCAAATATCACCGTGTCATCAACCAGAGGATCCCGCTCTCCGGTCATGATATATGTTTTCGGGAAGCGGGCAAGTAAAGCATCTGGAGCCAGGACGGGAGACAGGAGGAAATCGGTGTTGAAGTCAGGGCGATGGTGGGGTCCAATGTATAGAATAATCATCGCACGTGTCATCTCAGGTGTGAGAATGCGGTCGTGGACAAAAGTAATCATGGACGAGACGGCTAGTCTGGTCTTGATTGGTTTGACTTCGTCTTCTGCTTTAACGGCAGGCTTCGGGGCTAGGTCCTCGCTCTTTTGGAGTTTCTTTTCCAGTGCTCTGGCCGCTTCAGTGGCCACATTGGCTTCTTTGTTATTCTTTGTCTTCTCCGGTGGTGAGATAGCAGTTAGATCCTCGACCGAACGACCTGGTGATGTGAATGGTGTGAGTTTACGATATTCATCCTGTTTCCTTTGCAGAACACCGCGGTTTGTCTGACGGGTGCTCTTCTCCTGGATCAATGACATCTGCTCATCGCTCATCCAGCTCTCGACCTTCATATTCAACGCAGGGTATCCCAAAACCACTCCGTCCGGGGCCGGAAGCACATCATCTCCACGCCAGCCCTGAGCCATCGCAGACTGCAACACCATCAAGGTCATACCCACTGCCAGGTTGCCACCAGCACTCTCACCAGTGACAAAAATCCTAGGACGAGCCCTACCACTCAGACCCACACAACGACCGTTCGTGGCAATGATGCTATGGTAAACATCGTAGCATTCATGCAGCGCATACGGGTATGCGAATTCCGGTGCCTTCTTATAATCGATACTCAGGACGGGAACCTTGAGCCGTCCTGCCCAAGACAATAGCTTGTCCTCTGAGTTTCTGGGACTCATAGCCACAAACCCACCACCAGGTACATCCAGCACAATGAGACTCTGATCTCGGAGCGCACTCAACGGACCATCGAAATACAGCCACACATTCACCGGGTCGGTGTACACAGACTGCGCCGGGCGAGGAATACGAATCGCCCGAGCCGGAAACTGAGTCATTCGCGGCCGTAGCAGTTTTGCCAATGACCACAGGTAGGGGGTGGTTGGTTTGTTCCAAGACACGCGCAGGTGCTCCAGTGTCAGGGTAGCACGGACCCGGCGAACCTTCTCATCGGCCTGTTCAGCAGCGATTAGGTAGTAGGCTGTGAATACTAGTGAGGATATATCTCGGAGCCATTTTGGCTTGATGTTCATCGCCGTCCAAAATCCAGCATCCAAGCCAGTGGTTATCCATGTTGCTCGGAAGAAGGACCGCGAGTACATGTTTGCCAATGGTTCAGGACATTCCAGCCCGACGATCTTGGCGAAGTTCCGGCTGAGGTAGAGCCAGAGGAATATGATCACTGTTGTCTGCCATGCAGTCAACTTTCCTGTGAGGCGGGCTGAGAGCGATCGAATAAACGGCGGGCCATGTCTATCTGCTCTGTTCGACGTTCAGCGTTTGGGATTTCTTAGATAGATATCGGCCTTATATGCTGTACCTTAATAAGTAAACCGACCAGAAGGAAACCACTGCAAATACTTGGATCTTGCGGAAGCGGGTCGAAGGTCTCCCCAAAACATGGTCTAAACATCGATTAGCCTGGTGGGTTGCAGTGGGATACATGTTGCATACCTATCATTTCTCAAGGTTAGGGCTGAGTCTAGTCAGTCTACCCAGTTCAGCCTGTAGCGTGTATGTGTATGTGTAGTCTATGTGAAGCCAGAATAAGAATGCAAAGGTCGAGTTTAAAGAATAATGACAGTCACAGAACCAAAAGCTAGCGACAAAGAGACAATTTTAGACAAGTCAGCCACAATGAACAAAGACATAATGCCATCAATCAGCAGCGAAGTCCAAGTAATGCAACCTCGTCATTGGAGAAAAACCCTGGGGGAAGCTGAATCACATGTCAACAAAGTCCCACTTTCACATGCCAGTGACGACATCAGCTGACCACTTCAGGCCGTTGGTTTCAGTCTTATGTTTCGTACTCTTATATCTTTTTATGACGAAGTATCTGTGGATATATGTGCATTACAGACCTCCACTCTATTCTATATCTTTCGTCGGCAATAATCACGCCCGTGGCTAACCTGCCAGCTGCACAACCAGACCTCCCATCCCATACTGAGAAAGCCCGCAATGCAGATACCGCCCGAGTCGCTGACAGTGGTAGCTCCCAATGAGAATTCACGGTCCTCCTTAGGAACACGTTCGGCAATCTCAGCAAAGGTATTGACATATACCACACCACCGAGAAGGCCCTCCCAGAAGACAATGATAAACACAAGCCATACAGTGGGGATAAAATTAAACATAGCATGGAGGGTCAGCAACACAAGGTTGACCACTTGCAGGAATGATGGCAGGTACAGATTGTGGATGCGGAAGAATGGGGTCGAGGAGCGGGATATGAAGACGCCAACTTGGTATATGGCATTATAGGTGGGGTAGAACGAGCGGAAGTGGTCGAAGGGCGATTCACGTAGAGGAAATAGCAGAGTTGGAGCCACACCTTGGTTGATCACGTACTCAGCGATGTATACCAGTAGCATCGGGACCATGCTAGATGCCTGTTAGCCTAAATTTGGGACTATCGAAAGACCCGGATACTTACAAGGGAATGAACAATCCCTTGATACGACGTAGATTCATGCGTGTCTGATCCTTCCAGGAACCACCTTGATTGACATGGATGGACTTGTGGGCGGGGGAATTGTGCGACACTCCCAAGAGCCCCTCGTCTTCTCCACCAGCGCCATCGTCCACTTCATCTTCCTCCACCGGGCCCCCGCCCTCAACGGCGCGATAACTATCAGCGTCGGATTCAGCAGATCTTAGGGGGGACCTGGGTAGCACGACAAAGAAGCTCAAACCCATGATGGCTGGTAAGCAGGCCGAAACCAACAACGTGACATGAACGGAGAAACCCAGCGCCGAAGTTGCAACGGCATAAGCGCCAGCTCCGATCAGCCCAGCGGCGCCAGTACCACTTCCCCACGCCGCCAGGCTGAACGGGCCATAAAAGTGCGTGAGACCCACAAAGCTCAGCTCCCCAGCACCGCAAGAAAGGCTAGCCAGGATGATTCCAGCAATCTTGGACGATATCGTTCCCCCATCGGTATAGCCTGGGCTCATAGCCACGACCAGCATGCCCACAGTTGACAGGAAGGCGAAGACGAGGATGCGCATCGAATATGGAACCAGGTGGATGAAGTATGGGGCGACGAGTTTGGTCGCAAATGACGGTATCACGTCTGCAAGGAGAACGACGCCTTTGGGTACATCGGGTCCGACTAAATCTACAGCTGCGGAGAGGATGATCACATATAGGACATTGTTGATAAGGCCTGTCGGTATGGGTGTTAGTTGGGAGTTGAGCTAATCAACTGGGCTGGTTTAGGGTGCGTACCGAAGAGCCAGAAAGCAACACAGACTCGAGGGTCTGCACCGCTAAAGATACCACTTAGACGGGTGCTCAAACGTTTCCAGATGGGAGATGATTGCTCTTGGGATGGAAGCGTCGCGGCATCCTCATCGGGCACAGGGAGAGGCATTCGGTTGTTGCGTTGGGAAGTTGATAAGAAGCTACAACAAAGTGACAAAAGATATTCAGTCCATGTTTATTCTAATTGAATATTCAGGAGAAACAGACAAGAAAGAATACGGAGGCACGTCGAATCAACCGCGAAGAGTGACGACGACTCCTTATCTCCAACCGATCCACCGCCTTCCGCCCTACACGTGGCTAGCCTCTCCACATAAAACCTTGGACACACGACACTTTTCCTTTATTGCTCTAGTTTATATGATGAAAATATGTCCTGTCATATCCAACGCAATACAAGATGGTATAAAAGGAAAACAAAATCGTAACCGGCATTCAGACAAGACGCTTATGACTTGGCCACAACTGAATCCACAGCCTGCTCGAAAATCTTCAGGCCAGCCTGGATCTGGTCTTCAGTGATCGTCAGGGCGGGGACGAATCGGATGCAACCGTTACCAGCAGTAATTATCAACATGCCACGCTCACGGGCAGCATTGATAATATCACCAGCCTTAGCTATGTACTCTGGGGTGAGCTGAACACCCAGAATCAGGCCGCGCCCGCGGACCTCGGAGATCACACCTGGGAACTTCTTCTGTATGGCCTGGAAGCCCGAAACAAAGAGATCGGACTTGGCCTGGACCGACTTCTGGAGCTCCGGGTCAGCCAGACGCTCGACGATGTGGTGAGCGACACGGCAAGCCAATGGGTTACCACCGAAGGTGGTGCCGTGGTCACCGGTCTTAATGTGCTGACCAACTGTCTTGCCAGAGACAATGGTGGCACCGATAGGAATACCGTTACCAAGAGCCTTGGCGGTAGTCAGGATATCGGGGTGAGCAGCCTCGCCAGAGGCCGGGGCGAGAGTGGGGTGAGCGTGGGCCCAGAAAGTACCGGTACGGGACAGACCGCACTGGATCTCGTCGAAGATCAAGACAGCGCCAGTCTCGTCACAGCGCTTGCGGAGAGCGGCAAGAAACTCAGGAGTAGCAATGTTGACACCGCCCTCGCCTTGAATAGGCTCAACGATGACACCGCATGTCTTATCAGTGATAAGAGTCTGGAGCTGGTCAATCTGGTTATAATCTCCGTACTTGAATCCGGGAAGCATAGGTGCGAACGGAGTCTGGTACTTAGGGTTGGGAGTGGCCGAGAGGGCGCCCATTGTACGGCCGTGGAACGAGTTGTTGAAGGACACGAACTCGTGCTTTTCACCTGAAGGGTCCAGAGTGCGGCCGGTCTTGCGAGCGAACTTGATGGCGGCCTCGTTCGCCTCGGTTCCGGAGTTGGAGATGAAGACCTGCGAGGCATCGCGCATAGCACCGGACTTTTGAGTCAATTCAATCAACAATTGACTCAGAGCACCGGTCCAAGGGTTGTGATAGAGGTTCGAAGCGTGGATAAGAGTTTCAGCCTGTAATTGGGGTCTTTTTGTTAGCAATTTATCACTATACAGTCCATAAAATCATCTCGCACCTGCTCCGCAATAATTTTCGCGATCTCCGGGTCACAGTGACCAAGAGAGTTCACTGCAATTCCCGCCGTCAAGTCCAGATAACGTCGGTTCTCCATATCCCACAAGTAGCAACCCTGTCCCTTCATCATCATAGGAGCCGGGCGAACATAAGTCGGGACCATGAAAGGAGCCCGCTCATTAATGAAGGACGCCGTGACTGAGTCCGGCGACGGGTCGGGGTTGGGCAGAGTTGATTCCTTCTATGCGATTGTTAGCTCCAAATCCGAACGATGTCCTGGACACTTTTTATCACACATACCTTGACCTGAGATTTCACATTTTGAGGGGCAGTGGCCGTAGTCGCGAATCGACGCTGTACTGGTGACTCGAAAGCAGGGACGAATTTGGATGCGCGAGGCAGACGGCGCGCGGCCACACGGAGGGCAGACATGGCAAACTTTTGATTTATAAGAATAGAAGAGAAACCAAAACGAATCTACGGCAAAGAGAGTGAGAATCGTAAGAGAACCGTCTGATCGGATCAGCGACATGCCGGGAGAAATAAAAAATGGCGATATCGGGGTCGGCAATCTTAGTCACATCGGTGGAGTGAGTCAACAAACCCCGAGCTCCCGAGATCTCCCTGTACTTTGTACATCGTGCAACTCCAGACTTGCCTCATTGGATATATCATTGCCCGCATACACAAATACACAAACACGATGGTTTATTCTCTCGTTATTCGCCGTTCAGTCCTCTCGGCTGCCGCAGCCCGCGGTGCTATTCGGCCACTCTCCACAACTCGATTCCTGCGCCAGAGTGGCGACGACAAGCCCATGCCCTTCTCAGACTCCCCGGCTCCCCCGCGTCTCCCGAAGGAGGAACAGGAGATCTTCGAACAGCTCCAGAAACGCTCGACTGGCGCATTCAGCACACCTCAGGTCAACCAGTCTCCACAGACCGAGATTCAGGCGGACGGTAGAGGTGGCGAGCTTCACCCCGATGCGCCAAAGGGACTGCAGCCTGAGTTTGAGGGCGAGAAGAACCCGAAGACTGGCGAAATTGGCGGTCCCAAGAATGAGCCTCTACGATGGGGCGCAGCTGGTGATTGGAGCTATGGTGGTCGCTGCACTGATTTCTGAGTGATTTGACCAGAGATTTGCATCATGTTGGCGTTGGTGTTTCTTGCCTAGGGATATAATGTCTCCGTAACGGAGATGGAGGGGTGGGTGTTGGTTCTGGTTGATCACATCTACAGTGTACATAACAAAATGGCTAGACTGACAATGCAATGCATATTTACATGTGGTGTTGGCAAATATTGAAACTCATTGGAAACTAATAAATACACCGGACGATGACAAGCACAGACTATAGGAAAATTTATCAAAGTGACGCTTTTTTTGTTGCGAGACGAGCGAGAGTCGCTTTTCCAGCCCTGCTGCCATTAGCTCGGCCCAACTCCTCACTAATCCAACCTCCGATCTTCGACATCTCATCTAAGCTGACCCCTGTATGCATTCCGAGGCTGTGAATTGTGTGCACAAGGTCCTCCGTCGCCACATTCCCTGTCGCACCCTTAGAATACGGGCAACCACCAAGCCCAGCCACACTGCTGTCGAAAATGCGGACACCATGCTCCAGGCCAACGATTGTGTTCACCAAGGCCTGTCCATAGGTATCATGGAAGTGCAACGCCAAGTCTGTATTAGCGATGCCAGCAGCCTTGAGCGCTTGCATGAGCTCCATGGTCCGAGGAGCGGTGCCCATACCCGTTGTGTCCGCCACTGAGACCTCATCCGCTCCCATCTCCAGCAGCGTGGCAGTAATATCAGCTACCTTGACGGGATCCACGTCGGGGCCTTCATATGGGCATCCTAGTGCAACAGAGACATATCCGCGCACCCGGATATTCTTGCTCTTTGCCAATGCGACAATCGGCTTGATGCGCTCCAGTGACTCGGCAATGGAGCAGTTGGTGTTAGCTTTAGAGAAAGCTTCCGTTGCTGCAGCAAAAAGAGATACCTCTGTAGTCGTCGCTGACTTTGAGGTCTCTCCAGTCGCGTCCGCGGAGACTCCTGTGTCATCGAGGATCTTGACCAGGTTCTCCAGTCCTCTGATGTTGGGGACAAGATAATTGTATGCAATTGTAGATTGTGCTTGAGGCGGTTTTGTGAGGAGGTGCTCACAAATCTCAGCTGTGCTAGCCATCTGTCTTAACGTAAGCAATCGGTTTTTATCGTCTGGAATGGCACGATGATGCTCCGCTGAGGTCATACCTGGGGTACCCATTTTGCGGGCACAAATGAGCCAGCTTCAATGGTGGTGACACCTGTCTTAGCCAGTCGCTCGATTAACTCAAGCTTTGTTTGCATTGAAATTGATTTTTTCTCATTCTGCAGTCCATCCCGAGCGCCAACCTCCACGATGCGGACATGGTCCGATGTTAAGCGCGACTCGGTCGAGAAGCGGCGTGCAGAGTATGGAGATCGGAGGGCAGAGAAAAGACTCAACCTGGGGCGGGTTATCGTCATGACAAAGTTCAGGCCAATTTGTATAAACACAGAAACCAGAATTGTAAGAGAAATGGCAGGTAAAAGGGTGAGCTTGGGATCATGGAACTGTGGGAGCCGAGAATGCGGAGAGCGCTTTACCACTTCCGGACTAGTACATCACCCCACCTCCTGCTGAGTCAGTCGGCAGAAAAAAAGAAGTGGGATGATATCGATTCCAACATTTGTTATCAAGATCAGTGAAACCTCCAATTCTTGATTTTTTTGACGAACATTACAGCTGAATATTATGGAGCCAAACATCACTTCGCCCTCCATTGAGGATGGCTCACAAGCCGCAAGCCAAATGCGGCAACCAAAGAAGAGATTTGTCGGACGACGAACAGCAGATGCCCAAGCCCAGAAAGATACGACCAGTCAGAAAGATGTCGAGTCCACAGCGGTGCAAACAGGTACATACGTAACTCTAGCTCAACTGAACTACCCATACTAATTCCTACTTCCTCCAGCCGCTCCCAGACGCACACCCCGCACCCTTAACCAAGTGCCACCAGAGATTCTGAACGATCCCGAGATTCAAGAAGCAATTGAGCTTCTTCCCAAGAACTACTCATTCGAGATCCCCAAGACAATCCACCGAGTCCGCACATCAGGAGCCAAGCGAGTAGCCCTCCAATTCCCAGAGGGACTCCTCATCTTCGCGACAACCATCTCCGACATCCTAACCCAGTTCTGCCCTGGAATCGAAACCCTCATCATGGGCGACGTCACATACGGCGCCTGCTGCATCGACGACTACACCGCCCGCGCCCTAGGCTGTGACCTGCTAGTACACTACGCGCACAGTTGCCTGATCCCCGTCGATGTAACGCAGATCAAAACGCTCTACATCTTCGTGGACATCAGCATCGACACAACCCACCTCCTCGCAACACTAGAGCGCAACTTCAAGCCCGGCCAGTCGATCGCAACAGTAGGCACGATCCAATTCAACGCGACGCTCCACGGCCTGAAACCCGTGCTAGAGCGCGCCGGCTTCCGCGTCATAATCCCACAAATCACCCCGCTCTCCAAAGGCGAGATCCTCGGCTGTACATCACCACAACTCTCCGACACCGAAATCGACGCAATCCTGTACCTCGGCGACGGCCGCTTCCACCTCGAATCTGCCATGATCCACAACCCCTCAATCCCAGCCTACCGGTACGACCCGTACTCGCGGACCCTGACCCGCGAGAGCTACGAGCACGAGGAGATGCACACGATCCGCCGCGACGCAATCGCCACAGCCAAGACCGCGCGCAAGTGGGGCATTATCCTCGGTTCGCTTGGTCGACAGGGTAACCCGCACACGATGGCGATGATCGAGCGACACCTGCGCGACCGCGGCATTCCGATCGTTAACTTACTGCTGAGTGAGATCTTCCCTGGGAAGCTGGCTTCTATGGCGGATGTGGAGTGCTGGGTGCAGATTGCTTGTCCGCGGTTGAGTATTGATTGGGGATATGCGTTTACGCGGCCGCTGCTAACGCCGTATGAGGCGCTTGTTGCGCTGGGGGTGCGCCAGGACTGGGATGCGGGGAATAAGGGCGTGTATCCGATGGACTTCTATGCAAAGGAGGGACTTGGGCGGACGAGGCCGGGGCAGGCTTAGAGGTCGGCTGTTGGAAAAATAGAAAATATATACCCCATTATAGACTCAGGGCAGCAGGACTGGCTCTGCTGAAAGGTTATGACAATGATATACATGTTGATATGTTTCCTTTATATTATCACGGGCTCAGAATATACACGGAGAGCAGGAGTATTAATAACCGCCGGGCTATCGAAGGCACCGACGAAAGACATCATGGCATTCATTTCCAAATCAAATAAACCGATCTTAATCAAATACAAAGTTCATAATACAAGATGGCGTTCCAAATCAATCACCCCTTCACATCATCAGTACTGTCAGTGTTGGGTTCACTGGGACTTCCACGCCGAAGGGAGAGGACATTCTTATTAGCCAATTCATCAGCAGTGCGTTCAGCGGCCCGCCATCGGGTAACAGCCTGCTGAACATCCTCAAACATCTCCAGCGAGTCGTGAATGATACCGCCCTCGCCGGAATCGGCCACTTGAGTACTCTCTCGTGAACCACGGTCACTGGACATGGGGAAGGCGGGCCCGAATCCTCGTTGCGGAATGGGGTTGAACATGATCGCGTTGGCGAACATGCGAATCAACTCTTTCTCCAGTTGTGCAGAGTTCACAACTCCCTTGGGCGGTATGAAATCCTCATGCTTCTGCAACATGAGCACGCCGCTTTTAGACGGTGTGCCACCAGGAGCGGGAGATTCTCCATCCCCAGCTGGAGTGCTGGCTGCTTCTCCTGCAGTAGCGACGGCCTTGCTTCCCTGGTGGATGGCAGATTTGATTGACTTGAGGTCAGATGGCCGGTAGATGAGATCGTGGTAGCCAGGGGCATCACGTTCGCTAATTGGCTTGGCGAATATGGAGGCGAGCTTGTGGGTAGCTACATCGTTCATAATCGGCGCCGCTGTTCGGTGGAAGTTGCGCGTAGCCATGACATACTGAGTCGTGTCGAATCTCGGGATATCCGCAGGGTGGGGCTCAAGTTCCACTGCTTCACTTGCGCCGCGTTTACGTTTTGTCCGCGGTTTGGGGGTCCCTTCATCGGCGGTAACAGTTGGACCCTTTCGGCGGCCTGTTGCTCGTGGTTCACGCATAGTCTCTTCCGATGGCGCAGCAGACCCATCGCGCGAAGCCATGGATCGCCCACGACTCCGAGAAGAGCCCGAACTCACGGCGCGCGTCCTCCGAATTGGACCTAGTTTCTCGGTCTTGATTATGGGGGCGGGTTTGATGTCAGGCTGGCCGCGTTGTGGTTTCCTGTCTTCTGCGGATTGAGTTCGTTGGCCTAGATTAATCTTCGGCGGAGGTGACATTTCCATCGCATCAACAGGTGATTGGCCTCGTTCACTGATGGGACTAACGTCCTCCGGCCGTGGCCGTGGCGGTGAGCTTGGAGAGCGTGAAATCCTCGGACGAGGAGTTCTCTTCCACGGTGTGGAGGAGCCTTGTGTGTCAATTGACAAGCGTGGATGAGAGGCGCGCGTTTCAGAGAAAGACGGGAATGTGGCGCTCGGGGTTTGGGAAACACGCGGACGGCCAATTGGGACAGGTGTGTGAGCTGTAGACGGGACGGCACTGGGTGTTTGTGGAACAGGAGGTTGGATGGGAGTCTGGGCTTGTGACCCTGGCAAAGGCGGGTTGGTGGAAAGTGGTGGTACAGGTCGCTTGGTAATAGCCTGGGCTGCTTGAGGTGTAGCAGCACCTGGAGAGACGACGGGGTATGGTGAGTGGGGAGAAGGATCTAGCTGCCACTGCTGGAAACTCGGCTGAGCGGGGGTTCGCTGAGACGCCGGCGTCAAAGGGGCCAGCCTTACCCGTAACAATGGGCGCAGGTGGGACGGGATTGGCACGAGGTGCGATTTGCGACGGGTGTGCAGGGGTGACTCGTGGACCGGCTGGTGTGGTTGGAGGGGGTTTCTGGGTAGATGGAGCAAGTGGAGGTTGGATGGACGGTTTTTGTATGGGATGAGTGGTGGTCGGCTGCGGTTGAGGTGTTTGCCCAGCTAAGTCTTGCGGTTGGGGTGTCGGGGATTGCGCTTGGGGAAGGGGAGCTTGAGGTTGGTTCATAAGAGGGGCGGGGTGTATTGTCGGAGGTTCCTTTGTCGTGGAGGGCACATTTATTGGGATCTGCTGTGGTTCGGGCTTCGCCTTCTCCTGGTCGAGCGGGATAGTCGTCGCAAGAGGTTGACCTGTCTGATCTTGTACATCTGGGCGCGGCGCCTCTTCCTTCAGAACATCATCCTTCCCTTCGATAGACACCGGTTGTACCGGTGTGAATGTTGTAGCTGCCGCAGCGGCTGATTTGCTATCCTCCTGCTGTAGCCGTTCCAGCTCAGCCCTGATTTCTGTATACTTTTTCTCATCGTCCCTAATTTCGGTGGTGACCAGATCCCTGTATTTGTCGTAAAGGTGTGCCACTAGCTCTGGAACGAGCGTGGTGTGGGTGAATCCGCCAGCCAATCCATCTAATCGCGGACTGGAGATCTTGCGTTTCTTCGTATTAGGCGGACTGGAGGTATCTGCGGATCGTCCATTGAGCGAGGGCGCACTATCACGACTAAGTCCGTCGCGCATTAATGTCGCGTAGAGGTCTTCTAGCGCCTCCGGGGTCAGGCGATCGGCATCGAAATCGACATTCTCGCGCACGAGCTGGTTGTTTCGCAAGAAGGTTGATATTGAGCCGAAGCTTGTCGGTCGGGAATCCGAAGTCGCTAGGGACTGGAAAAACAGAAGGGATTCAAACGAAGTGTATGCCGACAGAGGAGGCATCCCCCATTGCCCGTCCGGTCGGCCACTGGGGGAAAAGGCTTTGAGGATGGGGGCCACGGTGGTCGGTGATCGGCGATCAGGGTGGTCACGGAAAGTGCTTGGTATCGCTGCACTGTGAGCTTCGGGGGCTAGGTCGGCTGGTATTTAGAGATAGCGAACGCGACAGGCTAGAAACGCAATACGCATGACCCTTCAATCTATCCGCGCGAAAAATTGAGCGGGAAAAAATCAACGGCGACCACAACGGGTCAGATAAAACACGTCGGATTTCAGGTGGACGAAGCGACGAGATGAAATGTCCCTGTAGAATTGAAATGCCGATGGAAATGGAAATGGAGACTGAAATTGAGGAGATTCACGATGCTACTGTACTGTATGGTATAGGTCATGTGACCAGTTGCCAGGGAGGAATCTGCCAGAATGCAAGTTATGCAACGTACGACGTGCTGTGTATAAGTTAGTATTGGTCTAAAAATCTATAGATCTGAATGTTTTCTCTAATATCTGAAAGCATAGACGTTTTCAACCTTATATCTCTCGATTCCCGTAGAATTGAGGGTATGAAAATCCCCTAATCCCTTAGTCCCCTGATCCCCTTGCCCTGAAACCCATGTCAGGGGCTAGTTTGCCTTTTTCTATTAAGAAAGGCAGCCTCTTAATTTCCAATTTCCTGTTTCAGAGGTGAGCCAAGTACATACATATGCTGTATCAACCCCTATTTCTCTATATAGACAGAATGCTAAGAAAGAAGAACCATACACGTAAACCACGGAAGTATAAAATAGTTAGTCAACCCCTGAAGCAAACCTTGGAAACCCCTATATATCATCAAAATACGACGCATAATGGCGTAGAATCCCTGTAATACAGTTGTAACACTTACGAGCTCTCTCCTTGCCGGTGGAGATATATGGGACCTCCAATTTCCGCGACTAGTAACATAGTCGGTGGGCTTATGATCATCTCTCGTTTCGCACTTCTCTCCTTCTTTTCCCCCCTTTAGCTTCCTGGCTCCCAAAGTTCTCTGCTTATCACTCTTCGATCGCATCGCGACTGCTATTGATATCTGGTATCTCTTTCACCTTCCCACCGGATTGTGGCTTATCTGTCGAGAAGTATAAAGGACTGACCCTGTTTTGTTTTTCGAACAGCATCAAACCCCTCGATTCATTTTCATCTGTGCTTGATTCTTGGCGGTCCTGGTCTCGACGATACCTAAACCGCCTAATACCTTATTCTGCAACTTGCACTTGCCCCGCCTGTCTCAAGGTCGCATACCCCTCTGTCGCCGTTTAGCTGTTGGGACCCGCGCTATGTTCACAGAAACCAAGGAGGTCGAAGCATCAAACACGATGTCCGACATGGATCGCGAATGGAAGCCGAAGGTTCGGCCTCAGTCGTTCGTTTCCCTATATCGTTGAACTTCGGATAGTAGTATTAACCGTGACCTCAGGACCATGGCGCAAGCATTCTCGACGGCCTTGGACAGCGCTTTCATGCTGGATTCTGACGTCGACAACCTTTCGCAAACCATTAGCCAGAAGTGAGTGGCACTTGTTTATCCCTTTACCGTCGATATCGCGACTCTCGCTGTTATCACGACCCTCATTTTCATGGCGCTAACCTCAAAGCCAAGGAAACAACAGATGTTGATCCAGACCCGTGAATTGGAAGAGCTGCAGAATCGCATCCGCGAGGCCGAGAGGCGTCTCCAGTCCCAGTCTACCTGGAGTGACCACACTGCGTCCCAAACCAGCCAGGGACAAGACCAGTCAGCTGGTGAGCGCTCAACTTGATTTTTTGCGGGCCGATTTTGATATAGCTGGCCGGGTTTGCGCTGTAGCGGGATCTGACTGTGTAACAGCATCCCAAGAAGAATCCAACAACGAGCAGCAGCCGGAGCAGTCTGAACCGTCTGAGCAGTTTGAGCATTCTGAGCAGTCTGAGCAGCGGAGGAACAACTGAATTCCGAACATCTGCGAATTTCAAGATCTGGACGGTCAAAACATAGGCCATCGGATTCCTGGAGTCGGGACTAGATTAAGGCTGGGACGAGCGCATCAGGGCGGAAATCTGAAACGATCCGTGATATTGGACTCGCGCCGCGTCTGATAGACGCAATATGTCCCAGTCGGCGTGGTCATTTTATTGGGATGATGTTTTTAGTTTTATCTTTTTTTTTCTAGCATCCTTTGAGAGACCCCCTTATTGTATGGATATGGCTTTGGAATATTCCCAAGGTCGTCCCTCGTTTGCACCGCTACGGCGATGCGATTCACCCATGTCTTTTTTTTTTTTTGCCTTTGTGCCTGGAAATGAATTCTTTCAATCAGACTTACCGGACCCGAGATACTATGTATCTGCATATTTATACCCTGGGGTGATGTACCTCTTTCGAGTCACTGGAGATATAGTTCCGGGACTTGTCCTGCAACCCCAGGCCCGAGCCGAATGATAAGCAGGCGACTTGTTAATGGGCTTCCTATGGCGTCCAATCACAGACGTGCAGTCAGAAATTGAACGCCCAACTATCCACTCGATTCCGTCATTGTCCCTGTTTCTCTGGTCGAGGCGCAGAAACCAGGCACGGACTTCAGAGGATCGGACTTGATGTGCTACGGAGCTATCAGCTCCTGGAGAGCTGCGGGGTATGATTTTGTGGCTTTTATATGCTTCCTTACTTGTTACATATTCTCTGCATGGTGGCAACAGTAAGCTAATCCTTTCCGGGCTCCTATAACTTAGGGTTTGACTAGGATGTCATGAGAATATATTGTTTCATTTAAATACTTCGCTATGGTTACTCTCTTGATTTTTGAAGCAAGGTCCTTGGATGTTAGGTGTAGTGAACAGCAATAGTACAATACATATATAAAACCCTGATTGTTATTGTTTTTGGGTTTCGCTTTGGAGGTCTATTTTCTAGATAGCCTGTGTAGCCTGCTAGAGGATAATTGACATCTTTACACCAGAGAACCTATACCATATGTAGGTTGCTATAACCGTTTCGATTCTGCTAGACTCTGCCGCATTAGAAATAATACCGATCCCTGGGAGAGTTCCCTATATGAAAATGACCTGCTTAAAGATGGATATGCAAGTTGTGCTCGGTACATGTATGTCTTAGAGATATGGGAGGTGGATCTAGGGGGTGGGCCTGGTGGCAATTCATTTGATTGCAATCCACTCTGGATTTCTTTTCTTTTTCTTCCAAGCTTATAACACTATGCTGTGCTTATTCCAGGCTATGTCAAGCAACATATCGCCTCAACTTAGCTGTAACATCACAGACCTGTTATTGCCGCGCACTTCCATCGGCTTATGAATGTCTCAGCTACAGCGCTATAAAATGATAAGAACACATTCCCGATGCCAACGTTCAACGCTAGAACAATCGGGCCGGTATTTGGGCACTGTCCACTCCGTATCACCAAATCGACACAGTTCTCGCCAGATCATAATGATTTGTGATCTTTCAATTGTTCCCCGCCTTATATGGAGTGAGATATGGACTCTTTTTCCACCTTGGTAGTTTTGTTATAAAGCACTCCAACGTAGCAAATTTAAAGCAAAAAACAGAATAAGCGAGATATAAGAGCTTATAGCTATTTATATAGCTAATCCAAAGTCAATTGATCTCGTAGCTATTTCGGGCAAAAACGAGGTCCATGACCTGCACACCTTTCCAGGCCCGAACCGAACATAGTCATATCGGCCAATCAGCGGCCCTCATTCCCTAATGCGACCCGATTCTCCACCCGAACCTCGACTGGTGGACCGGTGGGACAGTGATTCACGTCATTTTCTCCAGGGCCGCAGGTTGGCACAGACTGCACCTTCGACAGGACTCCCCTCCATTCTGGCCGACTGCTTCCCCCCCTCTCTTCTTCTTCATTTTCATATATTTTTTGTTTGGCATTAACTTGGTTACTGCTTTGCAATCGCCATTATGGTCTTAATCGATGGGAAAGAGGTCATTACCGAGGAAGAGAAGCGCCTAAAGGAAGACCGCGAGAGAACCAAGTATTGGAAGGTAACGTCTCTCCAACTTGGAACCAGCTTCAGAACACTCCTGCTAACTACTTCAACAGCGCTGGGGACCCTACGTGGTAAGTCGAGGCCTTGGATAGCTTTGAAACAGACAGATTGGCAGTGCTAAAAGCTCTATTGGTATAGGCGGAGAGACAGTGGGCCACAGGTGAGATCTGCAAATCATACCAAATCGAGAAACAGCGGGCTAATGCCGCTTTACCATGGTATAGTCAGAGAGGATTACAGCGAAGACGGTGACGCCTGGAGCTACTTCACCCACGATCACGCAAGATCGAGAACTTTCCGCTGGGGCGAAGATGGAATTGCTGGTGTATCTGATACACACGGCATTCAGAATATTGCCTTTGCGTTTTGGAATGGCGAAGAGTAAGTCCAGGCTCCGTTCGAACGCCGTGTCTGGTCATGGAATCTAACGAGAGCACAGCGACTTCCTGAAGGAACGCCTGTTCGGTTTGTCCAACCCTCAGGGTAATCATGGTGAGAGTGTCAAGGAGGCACATTTCCACGTGGACAACACCCCAACGGTAAACCCTTCTATAAATTCAATCCCGTTATCTCGGAATGCTGACCCCGGAGTATAGCACTCCTACATGAAATTCCTCTACAAATACCCCCAGAGAAAGTTCCCTTACCAAGACCTCATCGATGAGAATGCAAAGCGTTCACGCTTGGAGAAGGAGTACCAGATCCTTGATACCGGCATCTTCGACGATAATCGCTACTGGGATATCTTCATCGAGACTGCCAAGGAGGCCGACGACGAGGAAGAATTGCTCTTCCGTGTCATCGCGTACAATCGCGGCCCCGAGCCTGCTCATCTACACATCGTCCCCCATGTCTGGTTCAGAAACACGTGGGGCTGGGGTGACGAGAAGAAAAAGGAAAAACCATCTATCAAGAAAGAGGGACCAATGGTGGCCAAATCGAAGCACAGCGCAATCGGCGAGCGATATGTCTCCTTCGCGCCATCACCTCCAGTTGGATCTAGCGATGACGATATTACGCCTCAGATGATGTTCACCGGGAACGAGACTAACAACAAGTTCTTATGGGGTACCGAGAACACCACACCCTATGTAAAAGACGCATTCCACCGTCATATTGTCGACGAAGAGAAAGGCGCGATCAACCCAGACAACGAAGGTACCAAGTTCGCTGCGTGGTACGCTTTCAACAACGGCGAGGGAGTTCCTCCCGGCGAATGCGCCGTTGTTCGTTTCAGAGTGTCCCGTAAAAAGGAAGAATTTGTCGACGAAGAAGTTCTGGACGATGTGATTGAACAGCGCCGCACCGAGGCGGATGAATTCTACTACCACCTCAACCCTCTCCCCATGAG